ATTTATACAAAACTGGAAAAAGTGATCTATGTGGACCAACCTATGTTTCATAGCCAAGGTACTTGAGCACCAGGTGTACAAGTTAAATGATCCTTCCAATGGCTTCAAATAATTTTACAGTGGGTAGTGTTTTTTTATTCTATTAGACTATATTGGGTCATAGTTTCAAGATGATCAATCAGGACGATTAGGTCCATTTACACTGAGCTGATAGAAGTTTGAGATATGTCATCGTGTATTAGTAGCATATTGCTGACTGGTTATAGCATGGAGACCACTGGGGATCCAACTGCCAAGAGTCAGGCTCCAAGTATAGGGCAATGTATTGACATCAAAGCAGAGAAGAAGGTAATCCTGAGCATCCCTTCAAGGAGTGTAGTTGATAGTCTTGTATGTGTAGAATAATCGATACATCCTTTGCAGTAGGATAGATGAGTAGACATTGGTCCAACCCTAGTATGACTCACTGGGAGGATCCTCAAATATTTGATTTAGACAGTACTTTGTGTTTTAAGCTATAACAAACACAAATGCTCACCTATAGAGATATTCAAATGCCGACTGGGCCGATAATACGAATGAGTGAGTGTCAATGTCTGGCTATGTTCTATTATTGAATGATAGAATCATTTCTTAGAGTAGTGAGAAGCAATATTTTATAGCGCTTTTTCCACATGGAGTGAAATATATGGTGCTATATACAGTAGTATGGGATGTAGTCAAGTTGTACAAATTCTTAGAGAATTTAATTGTTGTGCGACATGTAGAAGATGATGTGATTCTCTACTGTGAAGCCATGTCAACTTGTGGTTAGACAATAGGCCCAAATTACTTTGGGAAATTGAATAAAATCTAGATCAGGTGCCATTTTATTAAGAAATAAGAGAAGGAGGATGTTGTGCTAAGTGTATTCCGACGAGTCAGTTGATCACAAATCTACTGATGAAGGGAATAACTGAAGAGTAGCTAGTGTAGACACTTGAGCCTTAAAGGTAACATCTTTAATAACAACTTTTACTTTATGTTAGTTGAAACATCAGACACTTGGGATAATATGGGTAGCGACTTTATAAGGCATTATGTTTGTTTTGTCTTCTTCTCATCTATATACATATCTAAGTGATGTGTTGTGAAAATAGTGGCACGATTGCAAGTACACAATCAATTTATAGTATAAAAAAGTATCGATCCTATGAGGAAGGTGTAAGAAGTATTCTAATTTGAATCATAGAGTTATGTGTGGATAAAAAGGAGTGAAATTAAAGAGTTATAGAGAGTGTGTGATTATTTACACATAAAAGAAAACTAGAACAAGAGGAGAGAAAGAGAGTGAACAAATGAAAGAAAATAAATAATAACAAGGAGGAGAACTAAAGAAAATAGAAAAGAACAAAATCAAGACTAGAAAAATTAATCAAAAAGAGGAACTCAAAACAAGTAAAATATGGAGGAAATTAAGTAGATAAGATAGAAATCAGAATTGAATCCACTAGTTAATTTTAATTAGGATTTATGAACTACTTTCTTTTTATCACATTTTATTTTAGAGTTACTAAGCGTAGACTATCAAACCACTTAAGGAAAGCATAACCTATCAAAATATTATCTAAGTAAAAAAATTTATTTATGAAAAGAACAATAACTAGATAGTAATTCTAGAATTCATAAGTATAATCTATAAAACCACTTAAGATAAGCATATATTATCAAATTCTTCTTTTACCAATTAGTTCTATAGTTGATTATCCTAAACATGATCATTTTAAGCACAAGGAGAGTAATCCATAAATCATAAAAAAATCAAACTAGTTTCATATAATTTTAGAATTCCTACAAAATTTAGTTGTACATCTTAAAAAAATAAAAATAAGAAAATAAAATCTAAGCTAGAAAGAAAGAGAATAAAAATAAAAATAAAAACTAACTACAAAAATAAAAACAAGAATAAGGAAATAAGGTCTAAACTATGAACATAAAGGAAATCTAACCAACAAAGATAAAAGAGCATAAAGTAAATCTATACTATAAAAGAAAAATATAAAAAATAAATTCTACGAAGCATAAAAAAAGAGTATAAAAATAAATCTAAACTATATGACATGAAGTAAATCTAATCTACTAACATAAAAAAATAAAGAGAATAAAATTATAAAACATGAATTTCTAACATAATAAAATAAAAGAGAAAAATAAAACTGACATTGCAAGGGGTTGGCCACTTGAAAAACAAATCTTCATCAACGAAGAAGAAAAAAAGAAAATTTAAAATGTTGATTTTTTTATTAATTGCAAATAAAGTTTATAATTTTAGGAAGTTTTCTCTATATAAGTGACCCTCCTCCCCAAATAAAGTTTTTATAAAAAATTTCACACTCAATCCTTCACCCTCTACCTCTATTTATAGCTTGCAACAATCAATAAGAGCTCTTAGATTTGCCTTGGGCTTTGTGAAATAAATCTCAATTATTTACTATTTCTATTATAAACTAATCGATTAGCCAATCGGTTGGTCAACTGATTAGCCAATTAGTTGATGAACTAATTGGTTCCTAGCATAATTGATTCCTTAGTTGACTTATTGACTTAATTTTTTTTCTTAATTCCTTAGGCTTTTGTGGGCCTCCTCTTGACTTAATATTGGGCTTCAATAAGTGATATAAAAATGGGGAAATTTGATTCTTTTAGGCTCTCATTCATTAAGTTTTCTTTTCTTACAAATTAAGAGAAAAACACATTATTAGTGATATATTTATTTAAATAAAATAGATAATAATGGTATAAAAATATAATAAAATATGATAATCAAATACCGTCACACCTAAATTTTTGCTAGTCTAGCAAAAAAATAAAAATAAAAAATAAATAGAAATACTAACTTATTTTTGCGGGAAATTGTGATTGTATTGAGCACATACAATAAGTCTTCCAACCCCTAGGTTACCCTAGAGGATGAGTTATAGTCTCGTGAGGGCTAGCAGTGAATATATCCATAAAATTCGATCAACTTATCAATTTGAAGAAGTCAATGTATGATTAATTCACTTGATATATTTTAATAATCTAATTGAAGCTAGCTTTTACTCAACAAAATAATTTTATGTATAACTCTAAAGTAAACCTCTTAGAAAATCTTTTCATTATAGTTATACAAAACCAAATCTAACTTAGAAATTTAATTAAAAGATTTAAAAAGAACATGCTCACTCTTTGTTTTAAATAATTTTCAAGTATCTTGATCAATTTATTTTTAAGAACATATATATATATACAACTTTTTTTCTATCCACTCATATATATATAGATATCATCAATGGATAGAAAGTTTGGTGGATGGTTCACTTAAGTTGACATAAGAATTTTTCTCTCTCTCCCTCTCTCACAAATAGGCTTGACCGAGAGTACTAAAAGGAAAATTTGGGATAGATTAGATGAATTAGTACAAGGAATCCTATTTGGAGAGAAATTACTTATAGAAGGGGATCTTAATGGGCATGTTGGTAAGGATAATAATAGATATGTGAGGATACATGGAGGTTTCAGGTAAGGAGATAAGAACGATATGAGTAAATCAATTCTAGAGTTTGCAAAATCATATGATTTGATAATAGCCAATACATTAAAAAAAAGGGATGAACACATAATAACCTCTAAAAGTGGTTTTAATAATAGTTAAATAGACTTTTTTCTTACTAGAATAATGTAAAACCCTAAAAATTTGAATATTTTGTAATAAATAATAAATGTGTTATATTATGAAAAAATAATATTTATTAATATTTGAATATGCTAGAAATTGATTTGAGATCAATATAATGTATATATGTGAATATAGAAGTGATATTATGCATACGTGCACGGGCCGGAATCTGGGAAAAACGACTAGAAAAGAAACATGTATCTAGTATATATATTGATGTGATTAAAAATATGTATGATAGAGTAACAACTAGAGTAAGAACTAATAAAGAAGAGACTAAACCATTTCCTATTACCATATGTTTACACCAAGGATCAGTTTTAAGTGCTTATCTTTTTTGCATTAGTTATCGACCAACTTACTAAGCACATTCAGGATGAAATCCCACAGTGTATGTTATTTGCTGATGGTATAGTATTAGTTTATGAAACTAGAAGAAACATTATTTCTAAAGTAGAAAGATGGAGACAAGCTCTTGAGTCTAAACGTTTTAGAATTAGTAAAATAAAAACAGAATATATATACAATGCATTCTTAGTAAAAATAGAAAAAAGAGAGCCTGTGGTACATATTGATGGCTAAGAAATACCTAAAACTAATTATTTTCGCTGTGTAGGATCTATTATTTGGCTTGATGGTGAGATAAAGGATGATGCTGTGCATCAAATCAAATCGGGAAGGTTGAAATGGCGGAGTGCTTCATAAGTCTTATGTAATCGTAGAATACTAAGGAAACTAAATGAAAAATTCTATAGGACGGTTATAAGACCAACTATGCTTTATGGGTAGAATGTTGGGCAATTAGAAAAAAAACATGTTCAAAAAATGAGTGTAGCAGAAATGCGAATGTTGCGATGATTTTGTGGGTATACATTAAAAGATAGGATAAGAAATGAGTGCATCCGTAGTAAATTAGAGATTGCGCCTATTGAGGATAAAATGAGAGAGAATAGATTAAGATGGTTTGATCATGTACAAAGAAGACCCTTTAATGCACCGATTAGAAAAAGTGATAATATTAGAATTAATGAGGTTAGGAAATCTAGAGATCGACCTAGAATGACTTGGTCAGAAGCAATTGAGAATGATATGATTAAGACTAACGTAACGGAGAAAATGACCCTTAACAGAATGGAATGGAAAAAATAGGATTCATGTAGCCGACCCCAAACATTTGGGATAAAGGCTTGGTTATTGTTGTTGTTGTATCTTGTGATTCTGATTTAGGATTGTTCATGACATGGATCATTAGACATCAGATAACATACATGAAGATGTACATTAACATCAATAAGAGCAGAAAAATACTAAAGGGGATGATACATTGTTATTCACATTTCATTAAAACAAAAAATAACACAAACACACCCAAAGCCCAAAAAAAGAGCCACTTGAGGCCAAAGAATGAGCCATAAAATTTTCCCTGTACAATTCATCAAACTTGTCAGAAATCAATTCAGTTATGTTAGATTCACTACCAAACCAAACCAAAACGATATTATATCGGGTACATGAATGACGAAGTGAGTGAGTAGGAGATCCTTGTCAGAGGGCCGCGTTGTTGCACAACCTCATTGATATCCTTCACAATGTCAAAAACTGCATTTGGCTGCGCTAAGTTTAGTGCATTCTCAGACATTTTCTTGAGCTTTTCATAGTCTGGACCGAACCATTGGGCAACTAGCCTTGCAGTTTCCTTTGGACTTTTGGAGAATACTCCTGCCCCGTTCTTGACAACATATGGGATATTTCCTACTTCCTGCAGAGATGGAAAAATATCATGTCAAATTAATGAATAATCATAGCAAATCTTTAGCGCTTGTTGATATTTACACTGTAATGATGTTTGGATTCTAATATTTGTTGTTTGCATATGTCTACAGATGCATACATGAAGTAATTCAGAAAGTAAGGTATGTCAGAATGTGACTATTGATTCAATACAATAACAGTTCTCTACTAGGAGTTAAAGCAAGTATACATGAATCTTGATGCTAATGAGTTATGCACGAAATAATATTAAATAGGTTTGATATAATTTTATGTTTGGTTCATGGATTCATCACTGACCTGGCCAGGGATGAAATCATTTAGGATGATTGGAAGTCCCTTTATCAATGCCTCAGCAATCGTTCCAGGACCCGCCTATCAACACAGGATATTTTCAGAAAACTGACGGGTTAATACAATCAGCATCATTCACAATATTTTCAAAGGAGTATGTAATTTCGGAATATTGACAGGTATCCAAATCAAGTTCATTCACAATATACTCAGAACCACGCAATTTATAAAACGATAGGTATCCAAACTCAATCTCATGCACATGTATTCAGACGGAGCACAAAAACGTGCACAATACCTTGGTGATAATGCAGTCACAGGCTCCCATCCATTTCTCCATCTGGGTCTCAAATCCTCTGATCTTGATAGGTATTTTCCACTGAATTTCCTGTAGAGAAGTTCTCAATGCTTGATTACGTCCGCAAATGACCACAAGCTGCCCAATTGGCCTGTGGAGCTCTTCATTATATAGTGATTCTCCAAGAACCTTTGCAGTCTCTTTTACAGGACCCATGCCTTCGCCGCCTCCCATTAAAAGAACTGCAGGCAGTTCATGGTGCATTTCAAGTTCTTCTCTTAGATCGTTCTTTGAGAGAATTGCACGGCAGAAGGATGGGCGTATTGGTAGACCAAATACACATATTTGAGATGGATCCAGGCCATCGAGCGATGCTCTTTTGGCAACCTCGTCTGAAGGGCAATAGCATCTTGTGACACCGTCATGGAACCTGAAAAGATTGAAAAACTCTTGACAGTTAGTTAGGAAAAGATTTATCTCTTATTTGTCAAGGAAATCTTATTGTATAGTCTTATTCCAAAATTTGCAGTCCACTATATGAATCCTATTCTTTCATTCTATTCTAGGTCAACTCCTCCGATAAGTTAAGTGTTGTTACATTTCTCTTAATTGTTTCCAACCAACTTATTTTATGCCTACCTCAGTAATATAATCTTATCACGTTTTTCTAATTGATGCATTTAGTGGCCTCTATCTCAATCCTACAAAATCTCGGTAACATAATTGTATCATTTCTACTAATTGATGCATCTAGTGCCCTCTGTCTCAATCCTACAAAAGGAGAACTAGTTGTATATACAATATACATGCACCGGCTAAATTCAACAGAACTGTACTTGTTTCATGTCATGATCATTAGAATCTGAAATTTGGATCTTCAAACAAGTTTTTCGTTGAAATTTACCAAGTGGGATGGCAAGTGTTGAGGTCAGTGATGACAGTCATGAAGACTACTCTCTTGTGAAGGCCCTGCCATTTGAGAACCCATAGAGGGATGTGCTGCATCAGAGGATGAACACTTATGATGATGTCTGGCTTGTACTTCTTTAGACCCTCCTCAACCTGCCTGCAAGCACACAAATAAAATTAAACAACCAAATAAGAAAATAAATCACATTTTCTATAAAATGAATGAGAATTCATCAGTACATATTTTCAGTTCTTACACTTTGACAAGATAAATTCAATTTCATCTAAGTGGGCATTTTTCTTAGAGACATCCAAAATTTAAAGAGAAAAACAACATTGAGGCTTCTTTTTACACATATAGAGAAACAATATGAACAAGTTCATATATATTCAAATATGTGACAAATTTCTCCATATATTTGCAATATGTTTAAAGTTGTGACATTCCATCCTTATCAACAATCTAAGTTCATCTTTTAGATTTATTATGATTTTTAATCAACATAATAAGTAAAGGAGAAAAATTATATAAACAGTTTAGACTCCCTCTGCGACTCTGCCATTGATGTCAGCTCTGCGACTCTACCATTGAAGTCTGGCTCAATCGTAGAAGGATAAATAAACCCATATTATTGTAAGCCGCAGACTGGAACCATGACTATGACACTCAACAAACAAAAAGGAAAATAAAAAGTGCAAGGAAAAAAATATATATATATATATATATATATATGGAAAAGTGTTCCTAAGGTGACACCTTAGATAATCATCTAAGGACGCGGCCTAAAATCACATGATCGAGCTACATTGTGGATGATCCGCTCCGTTGAACTTGATCTACATATATTTTAAAACCCCAACACACCAAGTTTGGGGTGAACCCGTCGTGTTTGACCCTTCGTCAAGTCGTGTGAAAAGTTCTATTCGTTCGAAACCGTTAAAATTGATATGAGTCACACGGTCCACCAGTGACCACAGTTCTCCAAATCCATGACTACATTTATATATGTGCACTTAACACCCAGCCAGAAAAAAATACACAAGTACAGAGACTTTGCCAGGTTGCCCATGTTTCCAGCAGAGCTGGAAGCAAGCAAAAAGTGATACCTTTTGTTAAACAATTAATTATAAATTGAGACGATCACCAACTCGGAACCAATCATTAGCAAATTAATGATGAGGATTTTTAAGAGGGAAGAAGTACTGTACGTACTTAGCGTAGAAGGCAGCAATGGCGGCAAGATAAAGGCAATGAACCCATCTTGGAGAAGTACCGTGAAAGGCCACTTTCCACAAGCTTGCATGCTTCACCATGAATTTATAGGATTTTTCCATATTGTTCATTGGCCACCCAGCATGCTCTTTACACAGATCTTTAACAAATACCTAAAAAGAAAGTTATAAAAAAAAAATAAAAAATAAAAATCAACCCAAATTTCGAACAACTAACTAATTCCAAAAGCGCTGGTACAGATCATCAACATGCGATTTTGCAATGAAGAAGGATGAAATTCTTTGACCTTTAGAAAAGTGATTTCTTAATTACCCTGTACTCGCCACCAAACTCGAGCCTGAAGGCGTCCCGGATCGCCTCGGCGGATGCACGGTGCCCGCCCCCCGTATCGCTCATCAGTATGAGAACGTTCTTGGTTGCGCTGCCGCGCCGTAGCTGTAACCCAGCTCCATCGTCCGCAGCCAAACCCCCTCCTCCTCGCTCCTCCTCCTCGCTCCCTCCTTCAATACCCCTCCCTCCCTTCCCGCCGCTAAAACGACGCGCACCCCTTCGCTCCTTTGGCGGTCCCCTTATGCGACGACATAGTACTACTACTCTTGTACACCGTGTCCCTTAGGGAACGCCTCGGCGACACGACAGGCATCACCATGGCGAACAAATCAAAAGAGAGGCCGAGAGGGACACAGCTTCCTAACTACTTCGTGTTGGGTTCGTGAGATTGTGTGCTGAAGAGGGGTTGGTGGGGGGTGCGAGAGAGAGAGAGAGAGAGAGAGTTCTTATAAAACCATGTTTCGGAGCGGTGAGGATCATCAGGGAATAATGCTGGGTATTAATTTTTGAGCTGTTACTATTTAAAATTTGGGCCTCCGGGGCCGTTAGATTCGCATCGCCCAGGGGAATCTACTCTTCGTTTGCGCGATTTTGATTCGGTCCCCGTTCTGGTGCTCCGCTGGAACTGGTTAATAGCATAGCTGCGAGCTCGTGGGGCCGGTTTGGTTGAGTGTGGGAGTAAGTTTTAAGGGTGGGTGGGGACGTCGGCCGGAAGGGGGATGTGGCTTTATCCCTTAAGGTCCTTGTTTATTTATTATTCTCACAAGATTTTTTGCTAATGTACGGGGACGCCTACGGGTTGAATGTAAAGGCTTCCTTTTTTTTTTTTTCAATTTTATAGTTGTTCGCGGGGAAAACTGTTTTCTTTTTTATTGAGATAATTGTCATCTTGGATTACAAAGATCCGGTCTTTTATAGATCCGGTTACAACTAAATCAAAGAAAATAAAGAAAAATTACAACTTTCCTCCTGTGAACAAATCACGAGCTCCTGTTTTGCGGCCGCTCGCTTGTGTGGGTTCTTTGCCTGCGCCGGGGTTAATCCGTGGACCACCGCGCGATCTAGATCCGGTCGGATCTACACGATTATGCGGGTATTATTCCACGAAGGGAATAATAGCCGGGAGGGATTAATCCACCAAGGGAATAATCGCTCGGATCTCGAGATCTAAGACCAAGCTTAGATCTGGAGTGTAGTCTCGTGTAGATCTCAGATCTGTTCTTTCTTCCTCTCGAAATCCTGCCTTTTCTGACGTGGATGGTCGCCGAGGATCGAGTTTGCTCTTCAATCCGGCAGAGTTTCGGCTCTTGAAAGTTCCACCTCCGAAAATAAACATCTCTAGGCCTATTTATAGGCTCTCAGGACAGTGCCCGCAAAAAGAGAAATGTCGGCCACCGTCGGCCACTGTCGGCCACCTCGGGCCACTGTCGGCCACCTCGGGGTGGCCGACACTGTGCCTAGCCACCTTGGGGTGGGCTCGGCCTTGGCCGAGCCACCTTGAGGTGGCTCGGCTTTGGCCGAGCCCCCGCGGGCGGTGTTTTCCGACTTTTTCGAGTCGTTTTCCGTTGTTTCCGGTTCTGTCCGTGATTCGGTTGATTGAGACTCTGATTGGTTGATCTGATTTGGCAGTAAGTCGGATTCCTGATTTGGCAGTAAATCCGCTTCTGAGTTCGAGTCCGAAATTGATCTTGATTCGATCGTGATTCGTCCGAGTCCGCTCTCGGTTGGATGACTCGTTGATTCCTCAACTCATTAGCTTGATTCTGCACGCGGGTGGATTCATTCCGTTGTTCGCGTGCGATTTGTCGATCTCGTCGCCTCGTTGGTTCGTCGGTTTGTGCCGAGCTATGCTAGGGGACCTATAAGCAATTTTATATGCCTACAGATACCCCCTCCAAAGTATTTCAGTCTCGTTCTTTTATAGAAGAGTCTGGAATACTTTGGATATGATTGCCCCCACCTTTAGTCGGTGTAATGGGATCTTGGAATGATTCCCGTTCTTGACTCCTTCAATTCTCCAGGCTTTTCGGTGCTTTGTCGAAAGTCTGTAAGAGTTCCGGTGCTGCATTTATTGTCTGACCGTTTGTCGGAATTTTGAACTTTGAAGTCGATTCCTGATTTCTAATTTTTAGCTGACCATCGATTGTGGCGTCGAGTCTTTATGTACAACGCGTTGTCCGGCGTAGTGTGGTTGAGTTATCCTTAAGAATATTTATAAACAATATTCTCCAGGAACTTCTCAAACCAAAAATAGGGAATAGTTTATACTCATATACCTTATTGGAGTATTAAGAAGCAGTTTATACTCGTATACTTTTCGGAGTGTTCTTTAGGTTCGAATAATCTGAACCGGCCCCAAAAAATGTGCCAAAAAAGGCAGTATTTGGGTTCAAAATCTCTCCGACCCTTCCAAATATATGGTAGAGGGGTTAAATAGGTGAAGGAATGAACCGTAGGTTGATCAAAAGTCGTTCCAATGTTTAATTCAGCTCCAATTTGAATTCTGGTTCAAATTTGGTTCAAACTGGTTCAATTTGGCTCAAACTGGCTCATTCTGGTTCAATCTGGCTCAATTTGGCTCATTCTGATCTGGTCTGGTCCAGCCAGGCTCAATCTGACTCAATTTGGCTCATTCTGGCTCATTCTGGCTCATTCTGGCTCAATTTGGCTTGGTCTGGTTCAACCCTGGTCTGGTCTGGTTCAGCCAGATCTGGTTCAAGGCTATAAAAGAGGGTTTTTTCTTCATTTTTTTTCTTCTTTTCTTTCTAGGACCGCCCCCCCCCCTTGTCCTCTTTTCTTTATTTCTCTTCCCTCGAGCGTCCGATCTCCTTAAAAACTTGATATTCGTCTTAGATCTAGTACTCCTTTTGATCCTTGACTGAAAAATCCTTCGAAACTTCCATTTTTGGAATTTCTCTCAGGCCCCTCGAGCGTGTGGTTCGAGCACTTTCAAGACCTAATTTTTTATTATCCTTCATAAATTCAACATTTTTTATGCTTAATTTAATTTATGAACTTGTGTGGTTGCATGCGAGGGTTAGGATTATGATTCGTCACCTCGAGCTTATCTTTCAGGGGGATAAAAAAGTGATCTTTTTTTAGATCTGACCTCTTGATTTCTTTTGTAGGCCATTATGTCGCGAGTCTCAAGAGGTCGTTTTCCTGATGCATCGGCTGATGGCGCGCTTCCTTCATATGCTGGTGAGCTACTTTCTTGGCATATTTGCAAATTTACAAATTAGTCCCTTTTTTTTCGGATATTTGCAAATTGGTCCCTTTTACCGAGGGCCGACGAGATCAAACAATCGCACGCTAACAACGGATCATGAATCCACCCGCGCTGCAGAATCAAGCCCAACGAGTTAAGAAATCAACGAGTTCATCCAACCGCCAGAATAGACTCAGACGAATCACGCACGTCGAATCAAGATCAGTTTCGCGACTCGGAACTCAGAAGCGGATTACTGCCAAATCAAAAAGGAATCCGACTTACTGCCCAACATCAGGAATCCGCCACTTACTGCCAAATCAGAGTCTCAATCAACCGAATCAACAGAAAGAACCGCGAAACAACGAAAACCAAAAACACCCAGAGAGGCTCGGAAAAACAATGTCACGAGGCGGCCCTCACCTGAGCACCAAGCGTGGCCTCGGTGCCGAGCCCCAAGTAGTTAGGCTCGGCGAGCCACCTAAGCTTGGCTCGTGGCCGAAGCCACCTTGGGGCTGGCTCGGCCACCTCCGCACGCCACCAAATGCGTGCGCTCGGAGGCGCGCAAGCCACCTCTAGCGCTGGCTCGGCCACCTCCGCAGCCACCATTTGGGGCCTTCTGGTAGCGAAGCCACCTCCTGGTGGCTCGGCGCGCACCAGGTGCTCGGCACCACCGAGCCACCAAGGTGGCGGCCGAGCCACCTCTGGTGGCTCGGTGGCCGAGCCACCAGCGTTGGCCTCGCCAGTGCCGGCCACCTCGAGCGTTGGGCCGACAGTGCCGACGGTGGCCGACATTTCTCTTTTTGCTGGTCACTGTCCTGCAGAGCTATAAATAGGCCTTAGATGTTCATTTTCGGACGGTGGCAACTTTTCAAGAGCCGAAACTCTGCGGGATGCAAGAGCAAACTCAGAGTTTTAAAGACTTGAAGACTTGGACGTACAGATCTGATCTTCTCGGCGACCATGCCACGTCAGAAAAGCAGATACTTCGCCAGAGGAAGAAAGAACAGATCTGAGATCTAACACGACGGTGCATACTCCAGGATCTTAAGCTTGGTCTTAGATCTGCGAGCATCCCGAGCGTATTCCCTTGGTGGACTAATCCCTCCCGGCTATTATTCCCTTTCGTGCGAATAATTACCCGCATAATCGTGTAGATCCGACCGACTAGATCGCCGGTGTGTCCACGGATTAACCCCCGGCGCAGGCAAAGAACCCGACACAAGCGACGCGGCCGCCAAAACAGGATCTCGTGATTTGTTCACAGTCGGAGGAAATGTTGTTAATTTTTCTTTATTTTCTTTATTTAGTTGTACGCGATCTATAAAAGACCAGGATCTTTGCTAATCCAGAGCATGACATTTATCTCAATAAAAAAGAAAACAGTTGTTCCCGCCGAACAATCTTGGCGACCACAGTGGGCTGAGCGACGATCCTCGCCAACGAGATCGAGCGGTCGAGCCGGCCGGATTGCAATCCCGGTACGTGAGGAGGGTCGAGTACGAAGTTCGACCAAGCAAGTTCGAGCAGTACGTGTCTCGTCCGGATCTACCTCCCACCGCAAGTCCAAGAAGTTCTCCTCCGGAGAAAAGCCTCGTTGCCGTTTGAAGGCTGCTCGGGAAGCCCACGAAAGCTCTCAACCCAACTTGACGCCCGAAGTTAGCCCGTCAAAATGAAGTTCCACCGACCTCCAAATCAGCGTTCAACCCAACTCCCGCCAACGCCTCCACTGTTCACGGGCGTTGTGACTCTCTCAAGAGAGCCCGCCAGAGGCGTCGTCAACGCCTTGCACAGCCAAACTCGGGCTAAGGCGATGGCCAGCTAACGGACGGATGTCCTCCCTACAACGCGCGAGTTGAGGAATCAGAAGATGGCAAACAGCCTAACCACCGCC